CGGTAGTTGGAAATGGTTGTAGAGTATTGTTTTTGTTTTCTTAGCACCGCTGGCCGTAAATTGCCTCTTAGCAGCAAATATATTTGTGGTGCCAGCAAATGTGAGATTTCAATTACTCAACTCTAGGCCACGTTCGGCCTCGTGAAAGTTTTGGTGAGAAAATTGCTAACTGGGGAAACAGAAAAGTAGGAAGGCTGAAATTTTAGGAAAATATTCCTTGTCCAAATACTACTTAAAGGCTTCAAATTCAGCCTACAGGCACGCGTGATTCTCATGTACGGGCACTTAAATTTTATGGCTGGGAAATTGCTTATTGAATAGCTGGATCATTTTCAAACCCGGGTTGGAATGCGTCATGCTTGCTGATGTGATCACGCTTTTTGCACCAGAAATGAAATACTCAAGTTATTAACTGCATGAATGGTCGTTGCTTTACACCTAGCTTCTGCGCTCACTAAATAAATTTTGCACGCAAATGAACAATTTCCATTTAACTGTCGTTCTTTGGAAGTAATCTAGTTGTTCAGACAGCAGTTTTCCCGCCAAAACTTTTTAGTGCCTATGTGTGTAAACCACGCATGCCCGAAGATTGAATTTGAAATATTTAAGTTGTACTTGAACGGAAGCATTCACCTAAAATTTCAGCTTTCTAGCTTTTCTGGTTCTCGAGTTAGTAATTTTCCCGCCAGAAATTTCACATGTCTGTACGTGGGTACCCCGCATATCTGGAGGCTGAATTTGAAATCTTTAGCTCGCACATGTACATTGAATATCCCTATAAAGTTTCAGCCCCTTATCTTGTGCGGCTCCCGAGATCGCTTTCCCGCCGAAAAATTTGAATATTTTTTTAAGTCGGCCGTGCTCGGCACCCAGGCGTAGGCGGACTATGAGATTAAAACGGGAGGACCGCGAATGGAGTGGGCTCATACTCCCAAATTTTCAGCCTTCTAGCTTTTCTGGTTCTCGATTTGAAAGCGGGTGACAAAAAGCGCGAACACGCAGACAAGCACACACAAATACTCATACACACAGAGACAGCCTCTTGCCAATATACGTTTTTGCAATTTACGTATATGCAAAAACGCATAAAAACAACCGCTAAACAGAAATTGTTTTTTTTTTTTTTTTGAAAAATTAACGATGATTTACTGTATTAAGCGCATAAGGCAGGTGTGAAGCAATAGCCAATCATGCAGTTAACCTAATTATTTCAAGTTTGGTTCAGAAACGCACGATCGCATCGGCCAGCCTGGTTTTTTGCAACCTGGGTTTGAAATCTTTAATGCACACGAGGATGTAAAATTTACATGAATTCCTTTAGTCGTCCAGCTCTTTAAGACGTTCGATAACTTTAAAAGTAAAAAGTCGCGTGGGGTGG